TTTTTGGGCAGAAGATTGTTATTGATGACGTTTCCTATGTCATCACGGCTAAGTTTTCCCTAAAAGGTTCTGTGGCCTATGCCTACTCTATCCTCAAAGCAGCCAACAACCATTTGGTTCGCGTTCGGCACATACAAGATGGTGTTCAGATCCTCATCGAACTTGTCATTCACAGCCTCAAGCCATGATAGTGCTGGCAGCTGATGGTGGCGAATTTCCTTCCGCTGAAGTGGAACCTGCACCATAATGAGACAGTCCTTCGACTGCAAATCGAACGACTCATGAACCAAGCTATACATCTTCGCTCATTAAATGCACAAAATTAGTCTCTCAACAGTTGTATTGCAACACCGCCGTTTGGTCTGTTGTTAATAAATTCGTCATGCGACGCGTCTGGACCAGCGCAACGAACATATCCTGGGAACTGAATAACTGTGGCTCATATCCTCAGCAGGGTATGTGATGGCTGTAGGTTAATGACTTCCTACTTCCCAAGCGCCTAGTTCGAGTTCCTGTTAAAAAGTTTAATATGCAGGTTCCTCGGTGATCAAATCCTAATCACCGCCGTCCCGAGAAGATGACAGTGTGTCTTTCTACAGTCTAGAAGTCAGCTGAAGTCAAAAAAGCAGAATCTAAGCTGCTAATCGAATCTTGAGAATGTTGTTACGTGGAGCAATTAATTAAATCTCCAGTAGCCGGTTAGCATAGGCATATAGGAGTGGAATTAAGGAACTATATCTTAAGGAGAATCACACGGAAGTGGCTAATCAATTTTTTAATCATCAAAATGCACTCACAAGAACGAAAGTCGTAACACAGAAATAGCTCCAAGCAAAGATGCGAAGTTCGAATGGTGCCTTTATGCGTAATGAAGATCCCCGAAGGGGAATGCCATCTTCAGAGGTGAAATACATTCGTCAAACTGCTTTTCCGTCATAAATCCCTTTGCTAAAACGGCCTGACGTAAACTGAGGCCTTGCTCGTGGGCAAAGAGTGCGGCCTCAGCCGATTTATCGTAACCGATAATAGGGTTTAGAGCAGTAACCAGCATGAGTGAATTAGCAACATGTTCGCCAATTCGGGCATGGTTCATGCGAAGGCCGCTAATAGTATGGTCGGTGAAACAACGTGCAGCATCGCTTAGCAGATTTACAGAGTGCAACATATTGGCGATCAACACCGGCTTGTAGACATTAAGTTCCAGATGACCTTGCGACCCGGCGATGCTTGTGGTCATATGGTTCCCCATCACCTGGACGCAAACCATGCTCAATGCCTCGCACTGTGTTGGGTTGATTTTGCCTGTATCCAAAAGAAAAGGAAACAGTTTTCGAGGCCAGAAAGATAAACAGGTTTTCAAATGCGTATGCGGTCGACGAGAAAACGATCAACGAACCTGGCATGATACTGGATCCTGGTTCATTCGAAGGCAGAATATATTCGCCTAAGCCGCATCGTGGGCCCGAAGCCAGCAAACGGAAGTCGTTAGCCAGACGAAGGAGGGCAGTCGCTGTTGTATTAAGACAGCCACTCATCAAAAGCAGAGAGTCATGACCGGCCAGAGCCGCGAATTTGTTGGCAGCGGGCTTAAAGACTATGGGCCGTGTATCACTACAACCCTCTTTAGACCGATTCTGGCGAGAAAAATTAATAAAATATGATTTCAGGGAACTACAGAAAGGCAATAACCGTAAGATAAGAAATGCAGACCGACGAAATTTCAACTACAACTCGAAGCAGAAAGCAATTAAATGATTTTAGGGAAAATATTTGTTCAATGGCATTAAATATCAACAAGTTTATCACGACAGTTTCACACAGGGTGTCCCAGAAGTAACTGACCCTTTTGATTTGCCAATAAAACGAA